AGATCTCTTATCATAACATAGCTTCATCGAATCAGCAGACATTTTCAAGTTTGAACACACTTGATGATGAATATCATCCATCCTTTCAGACAACACGTTCACGAACTCTGATACATTTTCAGGCAACTCTTCGTAAGGTGGGCATCCTGTTATCAGATCCACTGGCAACCGAAGTTCCCGACCAAACATCAACTTTGCTGGAGTGTATCCAGTGGCTTCATGCTCTGCTGTTCTATAGGCCATCAACAGTGGAGGGAGTAAGACATCCCAGTCATCTTGGCGGCTATTACAAAACTTTGCCAACTCCTGTCCCAGTATCCAGTTGAACTTTTCTAACATCCCATTAGACTGTGGGTGGAATGGCGTTGTCCTGGTCTTTCGTATCCTAAACAACTTGCAGCATTCATGGAACACAGCTGATTCACAGTTACGGCCTTGATCCGAATGCAGTGCGTATGGCATACCAAATCTGAAGAAGAAATCGCTAATAGCCAAAGCTACAGTTGTAGCTTCCTGATTTGGTATTGCATATGCCTCAGGCTACTTGGTGAAATAATCCATCACCACACAAATGTACCTGTTTCCAGCACGAGTTTAGGGCAAATGACCAGCAATGTCAATGGCTACTCTTTCTATTGGTGCACCAACTTGATATAACTTCATTGGAGCACGTCCCTTATGCTTTGGTCCCCTTTTAGCACAACATGTACTGCAGATCCTGCACCATTCTTTCACATGTTGCCTCATACCTATCCAGTAAAATCTCTGTCGTAGGTGACTCAATATCTTCTTTACTCCGAGATGTCCTCCTGTTAAACTATCATGGGATTGACGAAGCATAATTTCCCGTAACTTTCTCGGTATAACTGTTTGCCAGGTCGTCACTTTTCCATCTCCAGACAAGAATACCATCTTCAAGTTTCAACTGGTCCCATTGTGCCCAATAGTTCTTTGTCACAGGGCTTAAGCTAGACACCTTCTACCAAGCAGGACGCAAAACACTTGCTTTTAGGAAATCAATTATTGGCTTCAAATCTTGGTCTTTTTCCTGCTCTACTTTAATATCTATACCTGGTTCCACTTCACCATCATCAACTCTTTCAGTCACTTTGACTTCAACTTGATGACACCTGCTTAGTTCAACCTCTCTTTTGCAACAATGTCTGCAGTCATTTTTGCAGGGTCTTCGGCTCAGTCCATCAGCATTTCCATGAGATTTTCCTTCCATATTCAATATCATAACTATACTGGTCTATCTTTCCAACCCAATGTGCCAGTTGTCCCTCTGAGTTCTTTAATGATTTTAACCAGCGTAATGCAGCATGATCTGTCCTGGTGGTAAACCTAGCCCTATAGAGGTAAGGATAGAAATATGTCAGACTCTTTACTATAGCAAGTAGTTCCCTCCATGTTACACAGCAGTTACTCTCTGGACTACTCAAAACCATACTGAAGTAGGCCACCACATGTTCGTTTTCACCCACTTTCTGAGACAAC